AGCAGCTGTCGACGAAGATGAGGGTGCAGCAGACGAGGCGGAGGGTGCAGCAGATGCGGCGGGCGATGAAGAGCTCGATGGCGCAGCACCGGCGTTGTTGACAGCGGCAAGGTCAGCAGGGAACACAAGGGGAGCGTTCGAGTTCATGTTGATGCCACCGTCGGGGGTGATCACGTCGGGGTTGGCAGCCATGAATTGACGAACGTACCTAGATAATAAGGGTTAGTCGGCTGCGAGAAGAATACACGCGGAAAGACTCACATGACGTTCTCAGCAACATACTTGTGAGTCCAGGACTCCATGCTGCCCATGTCGATGGTGCTACCCCAGGAAGCAGCAGCAGTGTTGTTCGCGCAAGATGTGTTGGTGTACGAAGCCATCGGGGCAAGCTCAGGGTTGCTGTCGATGATGGAGCTCATCATGCTGCCAACGGTGGTGTTGACACCAGAGTTGTTGACGCTAGGGGGGTTGATGATACCGAACATTCCCTTTTGGCTGTACGTTGCTGTTAGATTGAAGATGCGAAATCATGATCGCTAGGATAACTCACCAGTGACCGGGGGTACCGCAGTAGTAGAAGACAGGGTTGGTATCGTTGACAACCTGGTCGAAGGTGAAGTCCTTGTCGTGAGTACCGGAAGCGAAGGGGGCGTCATCGGTCTTGTTGCAGAGGGCCAATTGGGAAGACTTGGTCACGGTGTGGTTGTTGGCGCGCCAGACGAAGTGGACGACATCACCGGGGTTGGCGTAGGTCGCGAAGGGGACGTAACGGAGAACACCCTGAGTAGGAGCGACGATGACAGTGTGGGTCGTGCCAGTACCGCTCGAACTGCTAGAGTCCGTGGGCGACGGGGTCCAGGTCGCAGGGGGTGCACCGAAAGACGCAACACATTCTGAGAGCACCGGGTCAGTGCCTCACATCATTTAGTTGGCAGCAAATCACTCACGTTGGACACAGCTGTCATAACCACCGGAGTTGTAGCTTCCCCAGTTGGAGTTGCCAGAGCCGTAGCTCGACGAAGAGGTCATCGAGGACGCCGCGGCGGTGTAGGTTGCCGAGGAGTACTGGGCCGCGGCGGTCTGGTAAGACGCGTCGGTTGTGGTCGCGGGCGCATAGCCGGTGGACATGGCGGCGGCGGCAGTTTGTCTATTAATAGATTAGACTGTCGATCTGCCAATCAGATCGAGCAGGAGAACGTACGAAGCAAGTGCGGCAGTGTCAGAGAGAACGACACCGTTGGGGGCAGAGACTGCGACCTCCTGGCCGATAGCGCTATCGGGACGAGGAAGGGCGTTGGCGAGGCCAGCGAAAAGGGCGACGGCGCCGACAAAAGGAGCAATGAAGACCATCGTTACTGAGGTTCAAAAAAAAGCTGGTGTTCGAACAAAAAAGTAGGGTTGACCGTCGAGGTGTGGGTGTCGTCGGACTGCTAGAGAAACCTCCCAGAGGAAATTTGCAGAGTGGTTCTCTATCAAAGAGGGTGATCTGGAGGAGGGTGAGTGCGGGGACGGGCAGGTGCAGACGACAGACGTACCCCGGTGTAGAACGAAGGTGAGGGTCGAGAGTCTACTCGACTAAGAGAGAGAACGAAAGCAAAAGGGAGGGAGGGAAAGGAGGAAAGGATGGGAAAGGGGGATTTGCTCAAGCGGGGGTAATATAGCGGACGTGCGAGGGACCCAGGACTGGGGCTCGCAGTCTGATTCGCCGGGCTCTCTCCATGGAGACCGTCAACGGGAACGCGTCCTCTGAGAAATCATTTTCGATCATCCCAAGCACATTGGCATTTCCCCAGCCAATCGTCCGCGGCACTTGTCCCAGGTACATCAGGAGCTCTCTCAACGTTTTCATGGCATTGGCAGGCAGACACAGGCTCAGCTGCCTTAGACTGTCTGATACTCGCAGGTCATCGTAGACTCGAGGGTATATTTTTTGTGTACTTCTTGCCGCCTAGAGCTATCGCCATTTTGATGACGACGCTGCTTCCTGATTGGATGGCATCCACGCAGCAATCATCACTCCAGACGGACAGCTCGGGCGACGTTGCTACTCGCAGTTGCCCTGCTCCAGATGCAACAATAGACAATCTCATGCATCTATCATCTGCCCATCACACGCTACATGGCCCTGGGTATATCTGTAATTCCTCTCGCCATCCAGCCATCCTGTTTCCCCCTCAACATGCAGTGTCCTCTCCGTGATATAAATAGCATGCACGCCCCGCTGCCATGCCTCACATCTTATACGAATGATACATCGAGCAGTAGTACAACACTACAAGGAACTGTCGTAATAAATCGTCGCATGCCGCAATGCCCACAAGAAACCCCATGTTAGGCACAAATGCATTCTAGCCCACCGACCCTGACGGCGCCGGCGTTCTGGGCAGACGTACTCCGGAAGGCAGACCACGCGCAGATGGTCGTTTCCCCCGCACGTTCACCAACGTTGCCCGACCTGGCGACCTGCCATCCTCTCCATCCTTCGGAAACGGAATTTTAGGTACGTCGGGGACAACCTCGCCCACAGCGGAAGCAGGGGATGCTCGCCTTGGGTGAATCTGCTCTGCGAACCGAATGGTCGGAGTACGCCTCCCATTCGCACTATTCACACTAACAGCACTAGAGAGATTCCCGCCTTCCATGCCCCTAGCACCATTGGACGGAATCGCGAGACTAATGATCGGTTTACCAACAACGACACTTGCCTTTGTCGGTTCCGCCTTCTCGGCAGGCTGCGTTGCAGATACAGATGCGTCGTCGCGGTGTGGGGTAGCGTTCGCGACGCGAAGGCTTCCGATCACTCCTCGATCGCGATCCTCGAAGAGCCACTCTGGCAAGTCCGAAGGATCGCTCGCCTTGGCAAGGTAATAATTCTTCATCGCACGGGTCAGTCGAGACTCTTGACCCGGAGGCGTAGCTTAAATGGATCATCTCATGAGCAATTCATTGTTCAAGCTACGCGAGATACATCCGCTAAATTGACTCACTTTCGCCGGTATACGTTGAGATGTTGCTTTCAATTGCTTTGGTTACACTGACAGTGAGGTTTCCCGCGGCAACAGCTACTCGGTTCCACAAAGCAGAACCAAAACCTGCCACAGGCTTTTGTGGAACGGGTGCGGCAGGGGAACCCTCCTTCTGATGTCCCTCCTCGTCTCCCAGACTCGTAGTAGAAGATGCGGCGCTTTTCACCGGATTCCCACTAAACAAAGAGGGCGCAGAAGAATTTGAAGAAAGCGATGAACTGAACGAGGTAATGGACGTGATAGACCCTTTGCGGTCTGTTGGAAATTCATCTGGATTGGGTGGGTGCGGGTTCGGGAGTTCGTCCATGTCATCGTCAATAGGCAGAGGGGGAGGGGGTACACGTGCGATGCGACGAACCCCCGGGTGGTGGCGTGGGCCTGCCTGATAAGCCGACGAGAGATTTGCCAGAGAGCGTTGTGGTCGGAGCGTCGAAGGCAACGGAGGGAGAGGAGGTACACCAGCAGAGACTGAGTTGGCCGTCGCACTTGTTGCACTGGTTGTACGCATGCGCTGCCTTTCGCGATCAACGGCACCGATCGCGCTATGTGAACGCGAGGGGGCATCGGCTTTGATGGTAGCGGTGTTTCCTGTGAGGGAACGTGAACGGGGCGCGGGGCTTGATGGAAGCCCTATCCGACCGTTGGTGCGAATTGGGCGAGAGGTCTGTAATTGTGCCATGAGCGTGGATGTGGTTTGGGTAGCTGATTGGATGTGAGTGAAGAGTACGGTAAATGTATGGAACAGCTGCGCGATAAAAGAAGTTTCGAATGCGCCTGCGCCGCTCAGGCCCGCTGGCAAATACGGAGCTCTGTAAGAAGTAAGTGAAGTAGAGCCTGTCTATCGAATATTAGTGAGCTCTCAACAACGAGTGGAATGCAAAGATAGTATATCGAAAACGAAGGTAGAACGACCGAAAGGAAAGAAGAACGAAGGAAGGAAGAAATGAAGAGGAAATGAAGGGGTATAGACGGGGAACCGTCGGGGAAGCAGCAATGAAATCCCTCGTAGAGGTCTGACACGCCGCCCTTATAAAATGCTGTCGGGACGTCATCCAAGCCTCCAGAGCCTCAAAGTTTCGCACCTGATAGCTTTGATGATAGGGCCTACAAATGGTAACCCCCCTGCTCCCTGGGCCTGGGAATTGACAGATTGCAGGGGAGGCCGAGGAAGGTGATTTTCATCATAAACTTCTGTTGCCATAGTGCATGCGAGATAAAGTACATATCGGATTCAGCGAGTGGGAAAGAGGTGAAGCTTTGAAGCACGGATCCGGGATGGGCGCGCCCTCAGGCTTCCGCAGACTGTCGAGGACCGATGCATGAAGGCCCAGTACGTACCTAGAGTAAGCCTTGAGGAGTACTTTGGCAAAACATCCTGTGAGTAAAAGGCGTTGAAGTACGGTTGCATCTATCAGATGCGACAGGTGGGCGACACACATGACTTTGACTGATGAAAGCGGCGAGGCATATGGGCAGTGTACATGGTGAGAGCGGCGCACCAACCTAATGGAGGATCATGGAGTACGCTGTTCAATACGTCGATCCTGTCCGTTAAGACAAGCGTGCCGTCGAAGAGCGGCGACCGAACCATTCGGGTAATCGAGAGTAAATGACATACCGATGAGTGAAGTCCTGGCAATGCAGTCTCTTCGATATTCCCTGGTGAGGCTGCAAGGAAGGCAGCTTGAGAGACGCAGCATAGCTCCTGCATAGGGTGGTACTCAAAGCTTCGAGCATATTCAATCGCAAGCTATGCGACTTGCCTAGATCCCAGGAGTTTGAGATTGTACTCACTCACAAGCACGTGAAAAGGCAGCCAAAAACCTGAGGAGCGAAGTCATGAGAAGAGACATAGCAGCAATGCAAGTGCTGTATCGTTGAGAAGTCTCAAAGCATGATGCCAATGGCAATGCGAAACAGTTCCGAACATGGGATCGCCGGTTGGTTAGCTTCAAGAAGTAAAGAAAAAATGAATGGACGCTGAGGGGTTTGAACCCTCGACCTCATGCAAACAGACCGAAGTGCAAAGCATGCGCGCTACCACTGTGCCAAGCGCCCTTCATGACTCATGATGCTTGAACGCACATGATGCTTCTGACATCTCATTCTGCCTTAAACTTGTGAATTGTTGGCTTTCCGAGCTTTTTGTCTCGACAACCACCGACTTTCCTCCTTGCGCCGCAGCTGGTAGCTCCCCTCGCAGCTGCCTGCAATTGATCTAGTTCTGAATTGATACCGGGTACCTGGATGAGATTCCCAATATGCCACTGGTGATCTATCGCTTGCTAGCTGCTCAAGTCGCTGCAATCAGGGTTACTACTGTGACTCCTACTGGTCTTCAGCGAGGTCTCTAACCCTGCTGGCCAATTCTGCATCGATGTAAGCAGAACTGGCCAGCAGGGCTAGATATCTCGAACACAACTCAACTACTTGTCCCTGTTTCGTCTCATGTGAGTTACTGTATGATGTGAGTAACCGCGGCGCAGCCAGTCGTGGTGCAACGTTCATCATGATATGGCTCAACGCTGGTAATGTACGCAGCACTATCTTCTCTTCAATAACGGGCCTAGGTTATCTTTCCCTCCTGTAACCCGTTCTTGTGACATCCGACTGTGCAATTCCGAATCGCAATGTGTCTCCGATTGATGGTAGAGAACGCGCAGTGAGCGGTATAAAATGCCCTGCAATTGGGCACTCATGAACCCCATACCTCGTTCTTGACTTCTTCTGTTGGTTTGTAACATCAATCTTAGCTCTCATGGAAACACTTCCAGCACCTGCCGTGGTTCATAGCGCGCGGAAAGAGGGGTCAAACTCTGATCCTGAGAAGGCCCCTCTTCTTTCAGGCCAGACCCCTGTGGTGTGGGCGGGTGGTCAGGTTATAACCCCTCGCACCAGGAAGTGCCGCGTCCGTAAGCTGGCAGCTCTTGCGGGTCATTTCGTTGTATGCCTTGGTCTCCTCTGTATGCTACAGACGTACGGCATAGTCAATCTCATGGTCAGTCTCATAACTAACTCTCTAGCGCTATCCTATTGCGTAGTTGATCGTATGCTCACTGATCAATCGAACGCAGTCGTTCCGGCGAGCAGCCCCTTCTCAGCACACCGACCCGAGTATTGGGGAGTGTGTGCAGCATGCCAATTGGGACCTCGATGACGACCACCACTGGCACGACAATTTCCACTATCATGCAACGACAGCGTTCAGCTTGCCTCGCGATTCTTCGCTCCTCTACTTCGTTAGTCGGGGCAATTTCGCCAACGGAGGTATCGAACTGTCTCATGACGGGACGGAGCCCAACCATGTCACGGTCGAAGTCGAGGCGTGGTATAATTCGGAGGAGTGGTTCAATAAAGTCGATGTTTGCTCTCTCAAGCGCGAACAGAACGAGAATGGTTTAGCTATCTTCGTAAGCACAATAATCGAAATAGATTCAAGGGATTAATTCTCATTGACGAATAGACTCCGGATCACCGTCACCGTCATGACCACCACCACCGACTTAGCTTCAAAGTTAAAGTCAGACTTCCGGCAAGCGATCAATATCAGCGTTATGAGCGACTCGAAACGAACCTGCCATTGTTCGCTCACGATGTTGAGGGCTTTGCCGACTCTGCGGAATTCAAGTTCATAAGCCTGAAGTCTGCGAATATGCCTATACACGTACAGGTGAGTTCAAATCGACATCTCATAACGACTATGTATTCACACTCATTCCTTCTAGTCGCTTTCAGCTGGTGCCGCATCTATCACCACAACGAACGCGGCTATTGTTGGCGAATTCAACTCGTCGGGCACCCTTATTCTCCAAACCTCGAACGCAGCTATCGTGGCCAATGTGACTTTATCGAACGATAACGAAGGTCAAGAATCTTCATTGAGTCTTTTGACTACCAATAGGTTTGTCACATCTCTTTCGTACCTTTATATTTCACCTGGATCTCACATCTCGATGTTTCAGCCCCATTAAATCCAACGTCAGCCTCATATCAACGGCAGATGATGCTACAGGTGGCGAGTACGTCGTAACAGCTATAACTGCCAACGGGCCTCTGGACCTATCCTTCCCGTTGAGTCCTGTCGATTCCAAGCTGAATCTGAACGGACGCACATCCAATTCTCCTGTGCGTGCCCAACTCCATGCTGCCTATGAGGGTGCATTCTCTCTTCATGGGTCGCCTTGGATGCACCCTACAGTGGAGGTCCGACGGGACGTTGAGGACCCTGCTGGACGAGGCAGAAGCCGCGGCGTGCTGATGCGCACCGTTGCTCGTGGCATTGTCGAGGGTAAGGTCGAGTGGAAATCTCAATTTGATCAGGAGCTGGGCAAGGTGTTGTTGTCCACGTCGAATGCCGGTATTCATTTGAAGGTCTGATTCTATGCACGACCGACACAGTACAGCTCAGTACCTTCTCCTTGGTTACCTCACCTATCACTGTATGCAACGTGACTGATATGTACGCCTCCTAATGTCTCACTCTTGTATTTCCAACTGTTGTGTAACGTTGTCGTTCCTCGAAAATGAAGTAATGTGGAAAAAGGCTGATATCGATACAGAGAAGGCGATCGCCAATTGCCTTGGATTTCGCTCAAACGAAGGCAAAGTAGTACTGGTAGAGTCTTGCTGGTACTTAGGAGACTGTAGTGTATTCAATGATCGGCATGCACTGCTGCCCATCATGAGCTCGACACACTTTCGTCATCGAGTATCAGGCGCTCTAAATCGACGCTCACAAGCATGGCTCGAGCTGAGCTCATCGTCTCGGACATCCCCCGAATTCCGAATTGTTCAATGTTATAAAACTATCGTCCGGGTAGACGGCCTCCCCATCCTAGTTCTTTCACACCCTCATTTCCCCAGGATACCAAGCGTCTCGCTCTCGTTTTCGCCCTCAAGTCGCCTTTACCCGAAGCTCGAAACGTACTGATACTTTGAGAGACAGTATCCAAGATGTTCGCAGCTCGCACTTCTTTGACAAGGTCTGTAGCGAACGGCGTTCGTCGTGTGAGTACAGCCGCCGCCGAGAAAGACAAATATAAGGTTGTGGTTGTAGGCGCAGGTACGAAGAATTTCATATTCGCGAATATCTATGCCTGAACTAGTTTACGTCGTCCAGGTTCTGGTGGCTTGACGGTAGCGAACCAGATTTACAATAGGTTCAAGAACGCTGGGAAGGCCCTGAACGAAGGGGATATTGCTATCCTTGATGCTGCAGAATACCATTACTATCAGGTACGTATATGGAACAGCAGTTCATGTGTATGGAGCCTTACAGTATTTTTTATATAGCCAGGATGGTGTGTTTTGTCGTTCGGAATCCGTCATGACAAGCAATATAACACTTTTCCGTGACGGACAGGACTCTCGTTGGTGCCGGACTTCTCCCAAAGTCTGACACTCGTCGCCCACTGAGATCTCTTATCCCTCCGCATCTTGCACACATCCCCGAGAATGTACAGAGCTTTTCCCCTTCATCGTCTTCGGTCACCACCACTTCAGGACGGACAATCTCATACGAAAACCTCGTAGTCGCTACCGGCCTCAAGATTAACTGGGACAATATTCCAGGCTTGACCAAAGCTCTTGGAGACTCTTCTTCTGGAGTCTCCTCAATCTACTCGTATGACACCGCTGACAAGGTTTGGAACGACATCGATGCCCTCAGGTCGGGCAAGGCCATTTTCACTCAGCCCGCCGGAATCGTAAAATGCGCAGGCGGTAAGTGACCTGAGTAATCTTGAACGCGTGCTGTTGATTCAACTCTACGACAGCTCCCCAAAAGATCATGTGGATGGCCTGGGATCGTTACAATAGGACTGGGCGAGGGAACCTGATTAACATCGACTTTTATACTGGGACTCCAGCCATGTTCGCTGTCAAGAAGTACGGCGACGTCCTTGAGAAGCTTCGCGTCGAACGGGGCGTCGGCGGTTACTTCCAGCACAATCTTATCTCAGTGGATTCAGCCAACCATAGGGCTACCTTCAAGAAGGCCGACGGTTCCACTGTGGACGTAGACTACACACTTCTGCACGTGGTCCCTCCCCAGGGGCCTCCAGACGTTGTAAAGAACTCGCCTCTTGCAGATGAGGCTGGATGGGTCGCGGTTGACCAAGGCACCTTGAGGCACGTTAAACCTGAGTACGGTAATGTCTGGGCCTTGGGAGACTGCTCGAGTCTTCCTACCAGCAAAACCGCCGCCGCAGTGACTGCTGAGGCACCTGTCTTGACCGAGAACCTGTTCTCTGTCGTAGATACTGGTAAGATCTCAGGAGCACGGTACGATGGATACACCAGTTGCCCGGTACGTATTCTGTGAAATGCTCTTAATGGTCATATTCACCGACACCCTCCTAGCTCCTTACTGGTTACGGACAGTTGTTGCTCGCTGAGTTCAAGTACGGGGGCGAGCCCAAGGAAACCTTTGCGAGCATCTTGGGCGACCAAGCAACTCCGAGAAAGCTCTTCTACTATCTCAAGAAGGATCTCTTCCCCGCCGCATACTGGAACCTGATGGTATGTAGCGCAATGTGATTGATTCATGGACTGTTTGTACTGACCTAAGGACAGCTTAAGGGTAACTGGTTCGGTGCCAAAGGTATCTTCCGCCCTACATTCCCTCCTTCTCCTCAGTAAGAATAAAAGTTGTACAAAGCATGACTTGTAGAACAGTGCTTGAAATATCATCCTATTCTCTTAGTTATATTGGCCGTCCTTCTCCTTTAATACACACTGGTATGCGACTGGTATGTACTGTGGTCGCGAACTTCGAAGAGCGCGACTGAGACAAATGACGTCGACCGCGAGAACATCACTGGAATCACGTGCGAGATATGGACGCGATGTTTGTTGATCGTGGCTCGCTGGAGCGTGTCGTGGGAAGAACACGCCCTCAACGTTTGAACACGACCCTCATCATCTCCGCCCGCCTAAGATAACGCCCCGAGCTCGTCGTCCGCTCCGACGACGACAACTTCCTGCAATATGTCTCGGCTTACTGCTGCGCAGGTTATTGCACAGGGGGACTACTTGAACTCTGATTTCGACCCCTCTAC